GTCCTTGGTGTTCTCACGGTCTTCCTCTCTTTCTCTCACCCTCCCTCGTTCCCAAGAACTAGTCCCCCTTGGCAACACACTCAAAGCATGAGGTGAAGTCTTACCATCAAGATCCGAGCCTTGGAAACAGTACGGGACAGTTCCATGCTGCCAGTCAGAACAGATTCAGTGGCAGGTGGTACTGGGGTGGTTATACAATTTAACTATATGCTGTGTAGGTCTTCCTTGCAATTACCAGTTTGTAATTAACCATCCACTTGTGTGATTGTTTAATATTCACCTTCTTCACCTGAATGTAAATTCTGTAAGGGCAGAAGCTATATATTCCATTTTATTCATTGATGTTTATGGTTGACTATGTTGTTGTTATGTGCCATCGAGTCGCCTGCAACTCATAGTGACCCTATGTACAACAGCCCTAAACTCTATATCTTGCCAACCTTATTGTCTCTGACACACCTATCCCCATTACCCCAGTGATGGAAAAAAATCCATATCATCAAGGGTCTTTCTCTCCTGCACCGACCCTCCACCGTCCCAAGCATGACATCCCTCTCCAAGGACCGGTCCTGCCTTGCAACATGTCAAAAGTATGTCAGACGGATCTTCAGAATCCTTGCTTCCAAGGAGCAGCCTGGCTTCACCCTCTCCAGGACGAACTTGTTTGTTCTCATAGCAGTCCATGGTATATTCAATATTAAAAAATGACATAGATTGGACTGCTGAGATAATATTTGAAAAGGAGTCTATATATACATAGTAAAGATGGAGATGTCTACAGGACTTCTTTGCTAAGCATTTTCGCTATAATAACAAAATCGAGATTCCTGTAAAATATCAAAACTGGGTCTTGGGGAGGGGCAGTTACGTTAGTGTCCCCGTGTCTGAGTATCTAAGGTTTATCATTCAGCTAGCTTCTCTAGCCAATGATTAGCTGTTTACTTTGTGCTGAAGTCATTATTGCATTAATGAAAGAAGCTTAGATGGGATACAAGGCCCACGCTATTACAGGGTTATATAAGCTGACGGGACCTCAGTGCCAAGCCTCCTTTTCTTTTGAGAAGGCTCACTTGCCTGAGACATAGCTGCCAGCTGCTCACCATTCTCTACCCCACCAGCCTGCATCGCCCATCCAGTCGTGCCATAACCGACAGGCTTCAGGGTCCTGGCCCATTGCTCATCAGTGCCTCCAAAACCAGCCTGTTACCGATGGTCATGTGAGTCCTTCCCCTAATGGGTCTGAGTCTCTGGGAGACCTTCTAGCGAATCATCAACCCAAGGATACATAAAGGAGCTAGGAAACCAAGAAAAGGAAGAGCTAGTGATGTGAGAAATCATGGACTTATATGTAAGGGCCAAGCATTTGGGACCATGTTGACCTGAGACATCTTATCGTCTGCTATTACTCTTAGCAGGACAAATTATGAAAATATCGCATCTCTCCTCACCCACCTGTGACAGAGACTCGTCAGCAGGGACCCTGCTGGAATCAAAATGGCAAAGTGATGGAGGTTTTATGGTCAAGCTGCAGCTCTGCAAATCACGAGGGGTTTGTATGGAATGAAAGTGCAAGGCTGCAGATCCTGCCGGAACGGGAAAATGCACAATGAATGGGACTGGGCGAGGGAGGGGACAGGGCCCGAGGGTGCAGACAGGGTGGCGCTGGCAGCTTCGTAATTTCTGCTTTCAGCATCTGCTGTATCCAGATGGCGTGCGGGGATTTCTCTGGTGAGTGAGCCACAGAGGAGGAAATAAAACTCCCCGATCTTTGTCCATCAGAGGCGATCTGGTGGGGAACAAGTTGCCCTGCAGCGATTCCCGGCTCTCTTTTATACATACACACACCCTCCCCGTCTCTGGGTTTATCCCCAAAGGAAATGTTAAGTACTGACGTCTTGCTGGAAGATCTTCTTACTTTTGATACCCAAGTGAACTATAGTGTGCTAGGCTGGCTGCTATATTTTTACAACTTAGAAGGAAAGAGGTAAAATATCACATTAAGAATTTTAAAGTTGCTGTCATGTTTAAATAATATTCTTTTTGGCCATGTTGTGTTCAATGAAAGAGCCTTTTAAAACTAATTCCACTCAGGTTTTTTGTTTTATTTAGATGTTCATGTTTGTACTGGTTTTTCACACGTTTATACCCGCTCACTCCTCTTGTTTGTACAAGGTAGGTTTACAGTAAAAATGGAACCATAATTACACAAGAAGCAACCCTGGTGGTCTAACAGTTAAACTCCCAACTGCTAACCAAAAGGTCATTAGTTCAAAACTACTCACCACTTTTCAGGAGAACCGTGTGGCTGGCTGGCTGCTTCTGTGAAGATGTAGAGCCTGTGAATCCTTCCAGGCTGTGCCCTGCTGTGGATCAGAAGAGACCTGAGGGCACTCGGTTTGGTTTGGTTTATAATTATACTTTGTAAGAAGCAGCTCAACAACAATAACAAGGATATAGGTAAAGCGTTATCAAAGTTTGTGAGGGGAAGGTGGGTTTTTTTGGGTGGGCCCCAAAGGGCAGGGTAGGATGTGGATGCTGGTTATTCCAACCTGAAGGAATCCTGAGAGGCCTGGGCTCCAGAAGGTCTGAGGCTTCGTGGCAAACAGGAAGGCACTCTTTAACACAGCTCTGGACAATTATTATTGCTAGGAATAAGTTAATGGCAAGTCATTAAAAAAAACTCTTAGATTGACAGAATTTTCATTTCCTAAAATGAAACTGTTGTTGTTGTGTACCACAGAGTTGGAACCACAGCTGGCCCATAGCGGGTTTTCAGAGGCAGTTAATCACATGGGAAGAGATTACCCATCCTTCTCTCACAGAGCAGTTGGTGGCCTCGAACCGTGTGCCTTTGGGATTGCAACACAGCTTCTTGCCACAGCCACAAGAACTCCAGAATGAAACCATTTTCGTTTTACTGACAACACTGTATTGAGTATCATTTATTCCACTATCAAACTCCTTACTGACTGGAAATCCCCCCCAACTGAAGCCTATGTCTGTTGTCACTCAGCAAGGATTTAATGGGCCTAGGCACAAGCAAACACATAAATATGTCTCTTCCCTTCAAGGAATTCACAGTCTGGTCAAAGAGAAAGTGTGAATAGGTCTGATGGGAAGAATGGCCTAATGGCCAGAAGCTACGCTGCAATTCGAAGGCTCACAGTTCAGAAGGCTCACAGGAGGGTCAGAGATGGGTCAGTACCAACTCTTTGGTACACACCACCACCAATAAAACCTGGGTAAAGCAGACAGTGGCCTGCGTATCTGGTTGTGGCTCCTGCCTTCTCTGTGCCCCTGCTTCCACATTACAGAAAAAGCCAAGTGACAGTGAAAACAAAGAGGTTCTTGACAAATAAAATCAGCACAATGCAATGAGGAACCTGGTGGTGTGAGGCAGACCGAGCAGAAAGGGAATGTCAGAGAAACACATCCAGGTATGACCCTCATCCACATTGGAAAATGTGCAAGGAATTTAGAAACAAAGACACCGGTGACCGTGTGTGGGTTAGGGGAGTAGGGGGCAGAATTCAGGTGGACATGTGGCAAGAAACAAAAAGATTGTAATGTCATGGAGATTGAGCAAAAAGACCCTCATTGGACCAGACCCCACCATGAGCCTGAGGTAACATCAAGGCAACCTTTAAAAAATTTGGTGCAGATGCCTGCCTGATGAAAAGGTGCTCAATATCAAACCTACAATGTGATGTTGTTGTTAGGTGACATAGAGTGGGCTGCTCATAGCGACTGTGTGAACACACATCTGAACCCTGTTCTATCCGGTGCCATCCTCACAATCTCTGACACACTCAAGGCCATTGCCGCAGTCACCTGGTCAACCCACCTGGTCAAGTCTTCCTCTCCTTCGCCAACCCTCCATCTTCCCAAGCATTATGTCCTTCTCCAACAAATAACCTCTCCTAGCAACATGCCCAAAGTTATGTGAGAGGAAGCTTCATCATCTTTGCCTTCAAGGAGCAACTCTGACTTCACCTTCTCCAAGACATATGTTTGTTCTTTTGGCTGTCCATGTCAGTGCTCTTCTCCAGCAACACAGCTCAAAAGCATCAATTCTTGTCACCCTCAGATGCATAGCAAGTGATATGAAAGACTGTGGCCTGAATGAGTCTCACTTTAGTCCTCAAAATGTCATCATTACGCCTCAATAATTGAAGTCTCTAACTGCAGACTTCCAGTGCAATAATACATCTCCTGATTTCCTGACTGCTGGTACCAAAGGTGTGGATCCAAGTAAGAGGAAGTTGTTGACAGTGTCAATCTTTTTTCCATCTGTCATGATGTTGCCTATCTGTCCAGCGGTAAGAATATTGCGATTACAATTGAACTAAACTTTTTAAAATTTCAGGGATTGATCAAATGTAATAAAACCAAATGCTGTAAAGCAAAATGTATATAAATGATTGCATAAAGACCAGTTTAAAAGATTTCAGAGAAGGACAGTGCTGAAAAGGAAACCAGCAACAACAGTCAATGGTCCACAACGCAAAGGGTCCTAAACCGAGGACAGCAGCATGAAGCACGCGGGCAAAGAGCGGGAAATCCCGGCTTGGAGGCTGCTGACTGGCTGAGCCCTTAGAAGGTGAGGCTGCTGATTGGCTGAGCTCTTAAAGGGGTTGAGCTGCTGACTGGCTTAGCCCTTAGAGGGAAAGGCTGCTGACTGGCTGAGCCCTTAGGGACCGAGGCTGCTGACTGGCCGAGCTCTAGGAGGGGGCGTGGCTAAAGCCAAGTCTCGTTCCTCTCGGCGGGCGGGGTGGGGAAATCCCGCCGCTCGCGAGATCTGGCTGGTTCCGCATTTTGCACTGGGGAAGTGGGGGGCGGCGGGCGCGGTGTCTTCGCGGGCTGGATCGGGCTCGCGCGGCCGCTCGGGCTTCCGCTGACCGCCGCCTAAGTCCGGCCGCTTCCTCGCCGGCCCGCGCCGACTCCGAGTGCTGCCTGCGGCGGGGGGCAGCGTCCCCTCAGCTCCCCCGGGAGGACCGAAGATGAGCTTCCTCTTGTAAGTGGGGGCGCCGGGCCCAGGGCGGGCGGGCCGGGCCGAGACGGGGGCGCTGGCCGCCGCTGGGACCCGCCGGAGGGCCGGGGCGAGGGCGAGGCGGCCAGGGCCGCGCGGGAAAGGCCGCGGGAAGCGGGAGGGGGGCCCCAGGAACTCGGGGCGGCGGCGCCCCAAACTTTTCCGCCTGAGCGCCGTGGGGGCGGGGCGGGGCCCGGGTTCTCGGCGACGGCGGGTGGTCAGCATCCTCGCGCGTCCCCTTCTCGTCCCCCCGCCATCAGGCCTGGGTCACACCTGCACGGAAGGGTCCCCTGGAAAATGGGGGGGGCGCCCCGTATGGAGCGGCTGGGGGTGGAGGCGGGCCGGCCGCTGGACCCCGCTGTCCAGTTCCGCGTCTGTCCACGCGCCGCTCGGCGCCTCTGGATAAGCTGGCCACTTCTCCTTTTCTTGGTAGGAAATGCGTGACCATGAGTCGGGGTCCCCCCCGGGACAGAGGGGGTGTAGTGACGAGGGTGTCTGTTGACATGGACAGGGAAGAGAGTGTTGCTGTCCACTCAGCACTGGCCCGTCGTTGACCCGAGTTTTCAGACGCTTTAGCTTTTCCCCTGCAGAAGAGCTGGTGGATTCGAACCTCTGTCTTTGGGGTTGGCAGCCTAGGGGGACATTCCCATGCTCGGACAGGCAGGAGGTCATCGCTGGCTCCTGCGTGGATGTTTGGACGGCCAGCCGGGGTCAGTGGTCTGGGGGCTTCGTGCAGTGGTCAGCTGGCTGGACTGTTGAGGGACAGAGAGCTCACGATGGGCCCTGAACGGAAACAAGAGTCCAGTCTGCATCACCGAGATCGGAGAGAGACTTCTGTGAGGTGGGAGTGGACAGCTGTGGACATTGCCTGGTGATGCTTCTGCAGAGTCCGGTTTGCGAGGCATCTCCTTGGCCCCTGATGGGTTACTCCCAGCGGTCACTCCTGGCCTCATAGTGTTACTTAAGCATGCATCATGTAGGGTGTCATGTGCATTAGAGTAATAGAATGTAGGGAGTATGAATGCATTACGGGTTGTGTAATCTGGTGGCCTCATCGGTAGGGAGTAGGACTGCCAATCAGAGGGCACTTGGTTCGAATCCACCAGCTGCTTGCAGGAGCAAGAAGTGCTGTGTGGTGTGGAGCCTCTGAAGACCCACCAGAGGCTCAGCTCTAGCTCCATGGTGCCTAACAACATGCAATAAATGCCCATATAGTTACAATTCACATACTTGTCTTTTAAAGAATTTTATTTTCAGTGTTTCATCAAATTACTCCCCCCCCCCCCCCGGGTTTATTGACCTAGTTATTGTGAGAAATGTGAGTTCTTTTTGTATTCTATGACTCTGGTGGCTTGGGGGCAAGAACTTGCATTGCAATCCCAAAGGCATGTGGTTCAGATGCACCTGCTGCTGCTTGGAAGAAGGCTAGGCAGGCCGACTCCTCCCCTGTGACTTTATCATCTCTGAACACCTACCTGCTGGAGGGGCAGTTGTGGGTCGCTTCCAATCCAACTCTGTCCAAACTGCATTTTCCTCCTCTAGGTTGTCTTCTTACGGGTAGAGTTTCCGTAGTGTCAGGGAGCTCTGGTGGAAAGGAGTTACACTGCCATCCCAAAGGCACGGGGTTCCAGTCCAGCCAGAGAAAAGGGGCTGTCTGCTCCTGTGTGATTTCCTGTGAACGAGCTGGCACATAACGCTTCTTTTAAATTGTTCTCTTGAGGCCGTGGTTTCCTTAGGCTTACATGACAAGAGCTCCGTGTGATTTAGATTTTAGTTACAGTTTCATGCCAGTAAAACTAATTTGGCACCTACCTCCCCCATTCACTTTTTCTTTTTTTTTTCTTTTTTAATTTTATTATTTTGTGTGTGTGTACCGTCAAATCAGATCTGACTGGTACAGGAGGAGATTGTTCCTCCTTCCCCGGCAGAGCATCTGGTGGATTCGAGCCATGCACCTCTGGGATTGTAGTTGCAGCTCCTTGCCACTAGGCCACCAGAGCTCCCCACCATTCACTTTTTCTTTTCCTATCATGAGTTTAAAGGTTTGTTTGCACTATTCACTTTTGGACCAAAATGTTGTCTTGTGATCATCTGCCCCTTATGCTACAAGCTCTAAGCATACTGAATTTTTTGTAACAGTTTTATTAAGGTATAATTCATATACTATAAAGCTCATCCTTTAAAATATACTACTCAGTGGTTTTTATATTTTCATAGAGTTGTACAACTCACTCTCTGGTTCGTTTTTCATCACCCATCAGAAATCTTGTACATTTTAGCAGCTGATCCCCATTTCCCTGGAAGTAGATTGTAGTCTCCTATTTCTATGGCTTTGCCTAATCTGGTCATTTCTGTCCTCTCGTCATAATCTTGCACATACCTAGCATAGTGTTGTAGCGCATGTCAGTACTTCATTACTTTTTACAGATGAGGGCTGTTCCCTTGTGGCTGTGCCACGTTTGCATATTCTTCCATCGGTTGGCGGATACTTGGGCTGCTGTTAACATCCATGTGCAGGTTCTCTTGAGTGCGGCACGTGGCTTCCACCAGCTGACAGCCAGCCCCTGGCTGAGGCTTTGTTTGCTGGTAGGTTTGGGCTGTAGACCTCAGAGTAGAATGGCTGGTGTTTAACCTTTTGAGGTGCTGCCACGTGGTTTTCCACATTAAGTTTGCCACTTCTCATTCCTGCCAGTAGTTGGCCAAAGCTCTCTGTGTTTCCACATTATTGTCATTTTTATTAAAACTACCCCAATGAAGCTGTTATTTACTGTGCCTTTGATGTATATCTTTTTAAAGACTAATAATATTCACAGTCTTTTCATGTGTTTATTTTTGTTACTACACCTTCTTTGGAGAAATGCCTATTCAAATCTAATGCCTGTTAAAAAATTTTTTAGAGCAGCTTTAGGTTTATAGAAGAATTGGGCAGATGGCAGAAAGAGCGCCTGTGTGTGCCTCTGCCTGCCGCGGTTCTCCTGTAGTTATGGCCTTGGCGCTAGTGCGGAGCATTTGTTACAGCCCGCAGCCTGTGATCCAGTAGTAGTTTATTAACTTAGCGAGCGCTAATGAGACCTAGCAGGTAAAGACTTGTGCTGCCAACTCAAAGGCAGGAAGTTCGAATCCACCATCTGCTGCTCAGGAGAAAGATTGAGTGTCTCCTCCTGTGCCATTTACAGCCCCTGAAAACCCACTGGAGGGTCAGCTGTGGGTCAGTTCAGACTCCACAGCACATGACAGCTGCAGCATCATTAACCTAACAGCCATAGTTCAGGTTCAGTTCACCCTGTACATGGTACAGTCCTGAGAGCCTGTGCCTGGTGTCACATATCCACTGTAGAGTATCATTCATGCCTTTAACATCTCCTGTGCTGTGTGTCCATCCTTCTTGACCTTGCCCTCAGCCTGTGACAAGCACTGATATTTTGAACGAATGCTTTTCTTTTCTAGAATGTCTTGTAATTGGAGTTGTATAGTGTATGGTTTTTCCCTGGCTTCTCACATAGCACTGTGCGCTTAAGGCTCCCCTTGTCTTTGGCATTTGATAGGGCATATTTTTTTGTCACCATGTGATAGATACTCCATTGAATGGACGTACCACAAGCTTTGGCCGTTCCCCTGTTGAAGGTCTTTGTGGTTGCTTGCAGTTTGGGGCAGTTATTACTGCTGGAAACATTTGTTTGCAGGGCTTTTTGTGAATACAAGTTTTCTGACTGTTGTGGTAAACTGTGCTCTTGGTGAAAGGATAGAGTAGGATGGTGAGCAGAAGAGTGAATCCAGAAATAAATCCATGCAAACTCAGTTCACTGATCTTTGACAAAGGCACTCAGGCAGTTCAATGGAGAAAGGATACTTTTCCAGCAGTGGTGCCAGTGTAACTGGACACCGCATGCAGAAAAGTGACGCAACAGCCTTCACAGCTTTCAGAACTTGGGAAGGTTACCTCAGAGTGGATATAATATATAATACCTGAATATTAAAGGGAAATCCCCGCAGCATCTCGCCGGTAATGTAGGAGAAGATCACGGGGCCTGGGGGGGTGGCAGTGAGTTTTTAGACACAACACCAAAAACACGACCCAGGAAAGAACTGGTCAGGTGACCTTTGCTGGAATGAACTGTATTTCTGTGAGAGGCCCTGCTCACAGAATGAAAAGCGACAGCACAGACTGTTTGAGGATGTTTGTGAGGTTCCTTATCTGTTAAGGAACTGGTGTCCAAAATGTACAAAGGATTCAAAAATCCAACCATGAGAAAATTTTCCTGATGGACCACAGCTTGCCAGATGTTTTGATGTAGAAGACTGGACTTTGGAGTTTGAGCACTTTGTTCCTCTTAGGGGCTGTGTGACCTGAAGATTCCAGCCCAGAGTGACCCAGGGTGGAGCTGCCTCTGCTGGAGGAGTTCACAGAACAGCGGCCAGTTTCTCACCACAGCTTGTCCCATAGCGCCTGAGTGAGCGCTTAACCGTTGTGTTCCCAGGCCTGCTCGAGAACCTTGTGATTGAGAACCTTGTGATGGCTCGTGCCAATTCTCCTTCCTCCCACTGCCTGTTTGTGGGGGTGGAAATGAAGGCGGTTGGGTGGGCGTAGACTCGAGGCTTCTGTTCTTCTAGGGGAAGTCCTCTTTCTGTTAGAACAGACAGCTTCATGATGCACAGGGATCTCTGACGGTCCCTGCGAGACATGCTGCAGCCTCAGAGCCTATGTGGTTCTCTGGGGGTTCGAATCCACCAGTGCTTGCTTAGGAGGAAGGTGGACAATTTATGTTCTCGAGGCCCATATGGGGTTGGTTTGAGTAAGAACCAAGTTGGAACCAAGGCACCAATAGTGAGTTGAGTTGTTGGGTTTATGTGGCATAGAAAAATTGGCCTTTTTTTTTTTAAATCAGAGTGCTAATCTTGCTTTTATGTGTAGGGAAAAATTCACAGATGTTCGTTTATTATGGTCTTCCCCACCCCCGATCTTGACATTTTTTCAGGAAGTATTTTACAGAATCATTTCCATGCCTTTAATAATAATGATGCTTTTCTGCTTGTCATCCTAAAGCCTGATGTAATTGTCCCCTAACAGCAGCAGCCGCTCTTCCAAGACCTTCAAGCCAAAGAAGAACATCCCGGAAGGCTCTCACCAATACGAGCTCCTGAAGCACGCAGAGGCCACGCTGGGCAGCGGGAACCTGAGGCAGGCCGTCATGCTGCCCGAGGGGGAGGACCTCAACGAGTGGATTGCCGTTAACAGTCAGTGTCCTCATTGCCAGTTTTTCCGGTTACATGAGGATTGTGCTTTTATTTGTTGTTACGAATATTCTCTTACAGGTCTTTCTGTTGCAGTACAACAGATTGTAAACAAAGGCATAAGCACAAGTATTTCCGACACTGTATTTCTCTTCAGGGATCTTGATGGTCGCTTGTGTTGTTGAGGAGAGGGCCCCCAGAGGTAATCTGAGGCGGCTGAGCTCAGTCAAATGAAAGATTGATAGGCACACAGATCCTGGCTGTGGCCGACTGTGACGTGTACTGTGGAGCCCACCTGTTCCTACAGCCTCCCACTCCCCCACCCCACCCCCACTCCAGTGCCAGCGGCTCTCCTCTGCCTGCATGAACACAGAGAAGTCAGCCGCTCCCTCTCCCGGGATCACGGATTTGCTGATGGGTAACGCAGAGACCTGTAAAGAGATGAAATTTGTTAAAAACTTCTTAATGGAAATTTTTTAAAGTACATAAGTATACTCGGCTATCCCCCACGGACTTTCAAAAGAACAAAGAGGTCAGTCCTGGAGGAAGCGCAGCCAGGCTGCTCCTTAAAGGCGAGGACAGGGAAACTTCATCTCTCACGCTGGGCATGTTGTGCAGGGGCCGGTCCTTGGAGGAGGACATCATGCTGGGTGAAGGGTGAGAGAGAGAGAGGATGGTGAATTGATGCAGTGGCTACAACAATGGGTGTATTACCAGAACTGGGGTGAGTGGTGCGAGATACGGCAGGGTTCAGCTCCGGTGTTCTCAGGGTCACTGTGAGTCGTCATGGACTCGATGGCACCGACCAGCACACAAGCAGAAGCAGAGATGCTCGTAATGAATAGCCCTGTGTCCACTGCAACAGCTACCAGTTTGTGGCTGATCATGGTTCTTTTACATCGTGCCTTGATTGTTTAGAAGCCTCTTGTAGACTTGCTAAATTTTAGCTATCAGTATTTCTGAAGTGTGTCCCAAAGACAAGAAGACCTCCCTAGTGATGAGGATACCATCCTTTGTTACCGTTCTCAACATGCAGTTAGTGTTCACACTTCCTTGATTGTCCTGTAATGGGGTTTTTTTTCTGTTTTCTTTGATTGACTCAAGTCAGGATCCACACCGACTGGCGTATTATACATTTCTTGAGTTTATTTTAATCCACTGGGGTTTTTTCCCTCCTTGCTGTCTTTTTTTCTCGTCGTTCTGTTGTTGTTTTTATTATTGTTGAAGAAGCCTGGTCGTTTGTCGTACAGATTGGCTGCCCCAGCACAGGTGTTCTGTTCCTCTGCATACTTGTTGTGTGTGCAGTTCTAGAGCAGCACTGTGGAACCTTCTAGGGTGAATGTGTGTTTTCTCTGTCTAGCTGTGGCTGCCCAGCACTTGAAATGCGCCTGGGGTGACTGGTTAGTAAGTGAAATCAAGTGTGCATAGTCCTGTGGCTGGTGGCTCCTCTGTGGCACCGGCAGCTCTGCAGCCTTGATTGGGGCAGGGCTGGGTTGTGTTTGCTTATCTGCAGCACTGCCTGGTGGGTGATAGTTTAGACACCTGTCAGTGTAGATGCTCCATGACGTCTAGGTGCCTTATGGATGTTAAGCAGCTGTTACTAGCTGTTGCTTTGATGATTTTTACCAAGTACATGTGTAATATGAGCTGCATACTTGACTTTACATTTTTGGGTAGCCACATTAAGAACAAAAACAGGTAAAATGCACTTTGTTGATATGTTTTGTTTAACCTAGTATCTGTTGCTCTTTTAAAAATTATTAATGTGATACTTTACATTCCTCTTTTTTTTCTGTACTTAATCTTTCACGTCTGGTGTGTGTGTGTTACGCACACAATATATTTCAGTTCCCACTGTGAGCATTTCAAGCGCTGAGTAGCTCCATGTGCCTGGCAGTTACATCCTGGACATCACACTTCTGGATTCACTGATACACAGGAGTCATGCATGGCGATAGTCTGTCACCTTTTCTCTCATTTTTTGTTGGGCTAGAATGCTCTATAAAAGAACCCTTGTTAAGTATTTGGCCATTGGGGGATAATATTTACACCTGAAAGTCACTGTGATGGGAAGGGTTGTGCCCCCCATGACCGTGTCTGAATTGTGAAGATGTCACTTTATATGGCAGAAAGCATTTTGCAGACAACTAAGTGAAGGATGTTGGGATGGATTGTCCTGTTTGTATGGTGGCCTAGTTAAGTGCTGTCAAGTCAGTTTTGATGTGGAACGAATCCATGTGACAGTAGGACTCCCCCGTAGGGCTTTCTATTTCTAGACTGTAGTTTTTTTTAAAAAAAAGTCATTTTGAGACTATATGCAGCAGAACAGGCACCATCTCCATCTACTGTTTGCTCTCGTTGATTACATTCTTTACTGGTGTGACCACGGCCACCCTGCTTTGCTAGCTTGTTCACCCGCCATTGACATAACTGTGTTGTTGTTATGTGCCGTGGACTCAGAACATAACCTTACCACTCCCTAAACCTGTCTGGTTGCTGCTGTCCATTTGATCCCATGTAGCTGGATCTTGTAAGAACATACTGCAGGGCGGTCTGGTGGCCTGGGCCGAAACATGTTGTTCTGTTCCCCAGAAGAGCCTAATGCACAAGGCAGATACTGTGCTGCTTCAGGTAGATTGTTATTTTGTTTGAAGACGACATCAGGGAACTAGGCTGTTAGACCTCTAGGTCTTGTCTCCCACAGAGCTGCTGGGTGTGTTTGAACTATCAACCTCTCACATAGCAGCCAGGAGCATAACTGTTGTATTACCAGGGATCATATGGCTTGTTTGGATAAGCCAACTCTGGCTGAGGGTCTTTATTATCAGGGACAGAGGCCAGAGAACCAGAGGGGAAAGTTAGAACAAGCGCCGCGGAGATGAGCAGTGGGCATAGCCAGCTGCTGTGGGCCTGGGAACATGGGCGACCTGCTGCCCTGTGATTGCACTTCTGGGGTCCTCATTTGAGGTGGTGGCCGCAGACTTTATGGTGGTGAGGGTGTGAGTGTAGGTAGCACGGGCATACAAGTGTGACCACAAGGTAGTACGTGCCACGTAATAATGCAGTCTGCTGCTGTCGTCATTCTCAGTCATTCTCAAAGACTGGCTTTATACAGATGCTAGGATGAAAGACAGGAATGAAAACCGGGGGGAATTAAGAAGAGGAATTCAGCCCTGTGCGAGCCAGCTTATGACAGTTGTCAGAGTGGAACCCTGTCGTTAGTGGGAAACTAATTTGTCGTGAGCCATGTGTTAGCAACAGGGCGCCAGAAGAGTCAGGGTAAATGGGATTCCTTCCCTGTGTTTATACATTTTCATGGTAAGAAGTTGGTTTCCCTCGAAGAAGAATGCATGGATTTCAGCATCTCTAGAGGTGTTGAGGATATGTGTGTATGCACCTGCATATGTTTCTATAAATTGACTACCATTATGTCGGGCTTCGAAGTGTTGACCAGTAGGGACCCGTTGCAGTTGGCTCTAGAAATAGTTCTGCTAAAGATGCAGACGACCATCTCGGCGATTACTGAGAAGCTGTGTGCTGTCCAGTGGATTCCAACTTGTAGCAAAGCATAGCATGAGTTAGAAGTCCTGTGGGGCTCCCACGGAGTCCAAGTGGCATGGTGCATAGGGGGCTGCACTGCTATCCTAGCAGTCATTGGTTCAAATCCACCAGCTGCCCCTCAGGAGGAAGAGGGGCAGTCTGCTTCAGTAAAGATGTCCATCCTTGGAGCCCCACTGGAGAGTGGCTGTGAGTGGAGGTCCTTCTGGTGGCTCTGGGGTGCGGATAGGGCTCCCAGGCAGTCCTTTTTACACACCATGCTGACAGTTCTTTCCCCTTAGAGTTGCTGATGAGCTTGAACTACCAGCCTTCTGGTTAGCAGCCAGCCAGCCAGTCTGTAACTTAAGACTATGGAGGCTACTTGCAGAGTTAAGTGAGACTCACAGTTGAACTGGTTAGTGCTGTGCCCTGGGGACTGCGTTTGGGGATGGTGCTTTAGAGCTAAAGTATTGTGCTTGTGGTAGGCCTTGATGTGTGTGTTGAGGTGTGGACCCTCAATATAGTTAGAGTGAGCACAGGACCCTGTGTGAACTGAGGGAGCAGGAGGTGGATGACAGATTGAGAGCATCTGGACCCCACACCTCGTTAGCAGAGGGAGAAGGTCGTACTGACCTAGCACCCCCTCATGGGAAGCAAGACCTCGAGCAGAGGAGGAAAGGCACAGGGTGCTACATGGTGACCTCGGGCTATGCGGTCCAGGGCAGCAGAGCTCACAGGATCACTGGACCACACATCCATTAGGAGAGAAAAGGACAAGATCCACAAGCTCTGGTGCTTGAAGAGAGAGGCAGTCAGGACACAGTTCCTGCAAGATCGCCTCAGAAATGCCCACTTTCCAGCAGAAGGAAAACTTACCAGACGGGCAAATAGAAACCAGAGAAGATAGTTGGACCCTTGTTCATTGGGCCCTTTGAGATGTTAGCAAAGACTTAAAACCCAGTTCTCTCCCACTGGCTCTGACTCCTGCTGACCCTGAGGACAGAGGGGAGCTGCCCACGGGCTTTCTGACGCCCCAAGTCTTCACGGCAGCAGCGTCTTTCTCCCACAGACATCTGAACAGCCAGCTTTTCGGGTAGGGAGCTGGGACTCAAGCCCATGAGTGCAGCTTTTACACGTACATTCACACGATTAGATAATGGTGGTTAAAGAATTTTGGGTGAGTGTGATGAAGAGAACTCCTCACATAGAAGACATTGATACAGAGAAATGGTAAGAAAGAACCAAATGGAAATTCTGGCTGTGAAAAGTAGAACTGAAATGAAGAAACTCACTCAGCAGGGAAAGCCCCAGAGTCATTTCCGTTCAGTAAGGACTGACTAACAGCTCACCTTCCCAGTGGGTTTTTGGAGGCTGTAAGTCGTAAGAGAGATTACCCGTCTTTCTCTCTAAGAGAGCAGCTTTTGGATTCGAACTACCTGCCTTTGGGTTGACCGCACAAGTACTTGTCCACTAGGCCACCAGTGGTTGTCCGATTGATCGAGAACTGACTTGTAGCTGACCCTCTGGTGGGTTTTCAGTGGCAGTTAATGGCATGGGAGGAGAATGCCCATCCTTCTCCTGCGGAGCAGCTGGTGGCTTTAAACTGTGTGCTTTTGCATTAGCAGCACAGTCCATACCACTCATCTATCAGAGCTCCCTGGTCACTGAAGGACACCAGGTGACGTACCTGAGCTGGCACAACAGGGAGCTGCCTCTGAATTGCCTTGAGAGACTGAGAGCAAAATGAGGAGTTCAGATTGCTTGTCGTTCCGGGATTCCGTGGAAGCAGCAGCTTTGGGATGGCATTTGAGTGCAGCTGCTTTAGACCAGTAACCCACACTTGGTCTGGGCACACACTTTGTTGTGAGTAAATATGAGTGCCCAGCTCTAGTGGCACTGTGAGTAAAGCATTCCACTGAGGACCAGAGCCAGTGATTGTCAACCAGCTGAGCCGCAGGAGACGATAGACATTAGTAAACATTTGTAACCTTGAGAGGAGTAAGGACAGGGTCACTGTGGGCTGGAATTGACGTAGTGGCTGTGCACGCATGGGCGTGTGTGTGTGTGTGTGTGTGTGTGTGTGTGTGTGATGGTACCTTCTTAGAAACATGACTAAGGAAAATCTTTAAGGGAATTTTGGCAAGGTGAAACCTTTTAAAAATCTGTTTGTTAAGAAAATTGGGTGTTGTAAACTAGGGACGAAGGAGAGACAGGGACCCCAAGACAGAGAGACAGAAGAGTGGAAAAGTAGGAGTGAATAGCTCCAAGACTGCAGCCCAGAGCCCAGCACCCAGCACCCTTGTCACTTTTATTGAGAATTTCTAGGAAGTAGATCACAGAGAAGATTCTTTCCTAATGAAGCTAGGTTTTTTTATGGCTGACAACCATATGCTTATCTCAGAAATTACGCTTTTATAAACACAGTCCTAGAATCGCAGAGGCGTCACGAGGTCTGCCTGGTTCCTGTGACCTGTCTCAGGAGGAATTCCAGCTTGTATTTGTGCCTTCTTTAATTCCTGTTTAGCATTAGGTTTATCATTCGGATTAACAGTTAGCTTACATTCATTTTAACATTGTAGCTTCCCACACTTGGGAAAACCCTAGGTGACATTTCTTTAATAATTTTTTTATTATGAGAAGTGTGGCATCAGGATTGGAGGAAGCTTCATCAACAATCTGCATTATGCAGATGACACAACCCTGCTTGCTGAAACTGAGGAGGACCTGAAGCGCTTGCTGCAGAAGGTCAAGGACTGCAGCCCTCAATATGGATTGAGGCTCAATATCAAGAAGACAAAGATTCTCACCACTGGACCAACTGGCAGCATCAGGATGGATGGTGACGAGATTGAGATCAAGTTTGCGTGCAGTCAACACTCGTGGCACCAGCAGCCAGGAAACTTAAAGACATATGGGGGGGCGGGGGGAGATGTATTGCAATGGGAAAGTCTGCTGTTAGGGACCTCTCCAAAGTACTGAAGAGCAATGGTGTCACTCTGGAGACAAAGGTGTGCCTGATACAAACCATGGTCTTTACAATCACTTGCTATCAAGAGAGCTGGACAATGACAAGGGAGGATAGAAGGAGAATTGATGCCTTTGAGCTGTAGTGTTGGAGAAGAATATTAAATATACCATGGACTGCTAAGAAAATGAACATATTCATCCTGGAGAAGGTGAAACCAGGCTGCTCCTTGGAGGCAAGGATTCTGAAGCTTCCATCTGACATATTTTGGACATGTTGCAAGGAGGGACCAGTCCATGGAGAAGGATGTCATGCTTGGGAGGGTGGAGGGACAGCGCAGAAGAGGAAGACCCTCTATGACGTGGATTGATTCAGTGACTGGGGTAATGGGGGTAGGTGTGTCAGAGACAGTGAGATTGGCACAGGATAGAGCAGGGTTTAGGGCTGTTGTACATAGGGTTGCTATGAGTCGCAGACGACTCGACACAACAATTTTTTATTGTGATTTTAACAGAAGTTTACAGAACACTTGGATGTTCATTCAATCATTGCTGCACATTTTCCTCCCTACCCCCCACCCCCGTTCACTTTTCTCTTTAAAAAAATTCATTCGTTATTGCAGTTTCCTCCTCTTCCCAGTCCACTTTGCTGTGTGCCTCTTAAACGAAACTGTTAAAATAAAAATAATGCCTAATCATATATTCCATTTAAACAATTCTGTCCCTCACCCTTTCTGTTGCAATGCTCATTATTTTCCCTCTCTTTTCTTAGTTTTCTCCCCAGTCCCCAATGTCAGTCCTGTTTTATAACAGTGGCATTATGCAGTGTTCTTTTGTGACTGAGGTATTTCACTCAAGCATAATTTCCTCCAGGGCCAACCGTTTGTATATTTCATGAGTTCCCTGTTTTTCAGTGCTGCGTAATATTCCATTGTGTGAATATACTACAGCTTCTGTATCCATTTATTTGTTAATGGGCACTTGGGATGTTTCCATCTCTTTGCTGTTGTGAAAAGCACAGCAATAAACATGGGTGTGCATAAATCTGTTAGGTAGAAGTTCTGGTTTATTTAGGGTATATTCCCAGTAGTGTAGTTGCTGGGTTAAATGATATTTTTGTTTTCAACTTTTTGAGAAAGTACTGTCAGCCTTCCATTGTAGTTGAACCTAGGTGAACTTTAGGAACTTCTCTTAGCAGGCTAAAACATTTAAAACAAAAAAACAACTTTCCACGATGTTTATAGTTCTGTTTCACTGTAGGCGTGATATTTCTCACCAAGTTTTCAGTGTTTGATTGATTAGACTACCATTGTCATTTGTAAATCAGCATCTGTTATAATGCAGTTACGTCGTGGCTGTAAATCCTGTTCCTTTTTAATGAGTGAATAAAAGAAATATCTCAACACCTCTCTCCTTTTAAAAAGCTCATTATATATTAAAAATTAGAGTGTTGTTGTTATGTGCTGTCTATATATTAAAAATTAGAGTGTTGTTGTTATGTGCTGTCGAGTCGCTTGTGACTCATAGCGACCCTATGTACAACAGCCCTAAACTCCGCTCTGTCCTGTGCCAGTTGCACCATCTCTGATACACCCATCCCGATTACCCCAGTCACTGAATCAGTCCACCTCATAGAGGGCTTTCCCCTCCTGCGCTGTCCCTCCACCCTACCAAGCATGATGTCCCTCTCCAAGGACCGGTCCCTCTTTACACCATGTCCAAAGTATGTTGGACAGAGCCTCAGAATCCTTGCCTCCAAGGAGCCGCCCGGTTTGACCCTTTCTAGGATGAACCTGTTTGTTTTCCTAGCAGTCCATGGTATCCTCAATACTCTTCTCCAGCACCACAGCTCAAAGGTATCAATTCTCCTTCTATCCTCCTTAGTCATTGTCCAACTCTCTGATGCATAACGAGTGATTGCAAAGACCATGGTCTGTATCAGATGCACCTTAGTCTCTAGAGAGACACCATTGCTCTTAAGTACTTTGAAGAGGTCCCTAACAGCAGACTTTCCCATCGCAACACGTCTTTTAATTTCCTGGTGTCGAGAGTGTTGACTGTGGAGCCAAGCAAACTAAAGCTGTGAACAATCTCAATCTCTTCAATCCATCCTGATGAGCCTCAATCCATATTGGAGGCTGCAGTCCTTGACCCTCTGTAGCAAGCGCTTCAGGTCCTCCTCACTTTCCTCAAGCAGGGTTGTGTCATCTGCATATTGTAGATTTGTTGATAGATCTTCCACCAATCTTGACCCCACATTCCTCCTCATAGAGCGCAGCCTACTGGATAATCTGTTCTGCATACAGGTTGAAAAGGTATGGAGATAGGACACATCCCTGGTGTACGCCCTTCCCAATTTTGAACCATGCAGTGTTTCCTTGCTCTGTTCTGAGGACTGCCTCTTGGTCCAAGTATAGGTTTCTCATTAGCACAATCAAGTGTTCTGGGATTCCATTCTTCTGAGAGTCAGCCACAGTTTATGATCTACACAGTCAAATGCCTTTGCATAGTCAGTGAAACACAGATAGACATTCCTCTGGTATTCCCTGCTTTCAGCCACGATCCATCTAACATTAGCTACAAAAGAGCGTTTTCAGTATTACTGGATTGTTACGTGTCTCGCAGGTTCAGCCAGGAATCTAAATTGATGGCCAGTTTTTCTTTGACTTGATTTGCTGAAAGGGTGAGGGTTTTGTTGTCTTTCCCTGAGCATTTGATCACAGTTCTGCTGTTCTTCCAGCTGTGGACTTCTTCAACCAGATCAACATGCTGTACGGGACCATCACGGAGTTCTGCACGGAGGCCAGCTGCTCCGTCATGTCCGCAGGGCCACGGTGCGTATGCTGTTGTGTGATGTCTCGGATGTAGAGGTTTCCATTACTGTCCTTCGATCACTCATTGTTTCGGTGTCAAGTAAATGGGTATTGCATCATTATCTTTTTGCTTTCTTGTGTGAAGGTAATTTCGCTTCACAAGGAGTTGACTAATTACCCAGAAGTTTTTCGTTATTAAATAAATCATGCTGGCAAGCTCTGATGGCCTAGTGGCAAAAAGCTGCACTGCAATCCCAGAGGTGTGCTGTTTGAATCCACCAGATGCTTTGCTGGACAAGGAGGGACAGTCTCCTCCTGTACCAGTCAGATCTGATTTGACGGTACACACACACACAAATAATAATAAAATTACTTAAAAAAAGTCGTGCTGTGGATACAGTGGTTTGATTTTGTATTGCATTGTAGTAAGTATGAATGTTTTGTTGTAGGAGTAAAGGAATAAAAATTTGAGATCAATTTACATTGCTTTCAAGAAGGTGGGTTTGGTATGGTATTTTATTTGCCTTTTTAAAAAATTTCAGCATGTTTCCTATTTCTAAATTAGTCTCTTGGTAAAGATTTTAGCTGGCTTTATTTGACTGTTATTTTCTTCTTGTGCTTATTTATTAACTATAGCACACAATTTAAATCATTACCTGGTTTAAAACTGGGAAATTTTAAAATACATTTTTATAATTACTACAGAAATTTTATTACAGTTTTTATTATTTAGGGGAAAAAAGATGGAACTCTTTATCCCTAAAGATTATAAGTCAAAGTGTGATGATGTTAATATGTAATATCTTGGTATGTTTTTGTCCAGTCTTTTCAAGTGATGGGAGAAGGCATCAGGCTAGTTTTTCCTCTTAAGGAAAAAGTGTCCTTTCTAATTTTACTACAGTTAGAAAGGAAAAAGGTTTACTACCGAGATTTTAGTTCTGTTTTTATGAAATAGAATTTTTTTTTGGCTGAGTACAGTGTACTTTATTGATGCTACATGACAGGATGGGCTTGCCAAGCCCCTCCCCTTTCTCAGGGGGATTTGATGGAAACTTGTGTCAAGGATGTGAGATTTTCAGTGTGTGGGAGGATCAAGTTGGAGCAAGGACTCCCCAGAAGCTGAGGGTCTCTCTCTCTCTTCTAGTGCTATTGCTGGGGCAGGTGGTCCAAGGGGATCTTACTCTTTGGAGGCCATGTGAACCATCAGGTCGACCACCCGGTTGCTGTAGCCAAATTCATTGTCATACCAGAAAATGAGTTTGACAAAGTGGTCGTTCAGGGCAATGCCAGCCCCAGCATCGAAGGTGGAAGAGTGGGTGTCACTATTAAAGTCACAGGAGACAACCTGGTCTTCAGTGTATCCCAAAATGCCCTTGAGGGGCCCTTCTGATGCCTGCTTTA